AACTCTGAGGGGGCCAGGTAGGAACTTTTTATATAGTATATAATATTCAATTCAATTTTATTTATACAGCGCCAAATCACAACGACAGTCACCTGAAGGTCGACCCTACAATAATACATACAGAGACAAATCCAGCAATCACATGACCCCCTATGAGCAGCACTATGGCGACAGTGGGAAGGAAAAACTCCCTTTTAATAGGAAGAAACCTCCAGCAGAACCAGGCTCAGGGAGGGGCGGGGCCATCTGCTGCGACCGGTTGGGGTGAGAGAAGGAATATAATATAAAGATATAAATATATATTTTATTTTTAATGCCCCACTATAAACTATTTGCTATGTTTCAAGGTTATATATGTAATTAAGTAGTTACACATATATTTATTTAAGTGATTTTATATATATATATATATATATATATATATATTTGTACATATATGTAATTAAGTAATTCCATATATACATGAAGTAAAACAACCTTAGACTTTGTCAAAGTGCACTGTGAACATTCCTGTTACACTTTTGACTGTAGGTTTTTCCTTCAGCCGGTCCATTTTGTTCTCATGAACTAAATTGTTTTTTTTTTAAACTTTTATAGGTGTAGTTGTGTTCAAGCAGTGCATACAGGTCCAAACTAACATAAAGTAAATCTTGAGGGACTATTTTAGTGTGACTGATCTTAATTACTTCATCATATTTCATCAGAGATTAATAATGAATCAGATCCCCACCTGGGCTCTGACCCCCAGTCTGCTCCGACACATATTGTGTAAGTGAAAAGACACATATGTCTTCATATCAACAGCAATTAGTTCATTTGAAAATCCTGTCATGTTAAAGGTAGTTAAGACAAATTTACTGGCAATTTAAAACTTGGTGTTCAAAGTCATTAATTTAGTAATGATTCTGTAATGATATCCTCATACTGTTGTGCAGTTTTACAAACAAGGCTCAGTGCTTGCACACACACACTGCACATGGGAATAGAAATCTAAGTGTTTGCATTCTGTGGCACAGATGTTATGGGATCTGTCTACCTGCCCCATTTGGGATTAGTGTTAATGTGGTAGCTTCACACAGTTTAAGCAGCTCTAGGAAAGTGTTCTTAATAGTAATGTGTAATTGCCAATTTTAGTCATTTAAAAGCACGTGTTCGTCCCACAGTGCCCCCCAGGACTAAGTCCTATGAAGGATGGCACCGGGTGCTATGACCACCACATCGGCATCGACTGCTCCGACGGTTTCAACGGAGGATGTGAGCAGCTGTGTCTCCAGCAGTTGGCCCCTCTAGAGGATGACCCGACGCTCTACAACATCCAGATGTTCTGTGGGTAAGAAACAACACGTTCTGTGCTTTTTATTTTTAATTATTATAGCAATATATTTCACAATTCTGTCATGTTAGGTTTGTCACATTTTACATGGTCTATGGTCAGTCAATAACAAAAACAAAATAAATCCCTTTGGTATGCTGCCATCGCTATATATACAGAGACAGAAAGAGAAGAAAAGTTCCCAGATTCAGGTGATATATATAGTTTTTGCTTTTAAATGAAAACAGAAGTGTATTCATAACATTTAGTGCAAAATGAGCCAGTAAAAAACTTAAAGCAGTGTGGTGGTGGCACTTTAAGACTCTTAAATATACCACCATTAACATTTATTAAAGCAAACTTTGAAGTGAGTGTTAAATTAAAAATACCAAAACTAGAAAAAATGGCTTTAATGAGTTCCATTATGATCCCCTGGGGCCTGATTTATAAAAGAGTTTATCTCTGAAATTAGTTTTAAGATAATACCTAACAGTGCGCTCATTTCTGGAAGATACGGTGCATGAAAGTAAGTAAAGCAATTTATGCACCTGTGATTTATATCTCTCAAATCAACTGAAATTTAAAGAAACCTGCCTTGCTGCTTTTCCTTATGTAAAGCCAACACAAATGGGGCTTTACTCAGGAATAGCCTTGGATCATGGACCGAATGGGAAAAGCAAACCTTTTGGGACATAAGAGCAGGGTGACTTAAGCCCGGTGACACATATCACACAGTGGACTGTGTAGTGGGTTGTAAATATTGTGTCACAAGGCTGGGCAAGAAACAAACTCTGACTCCAGTACCCTAGTATCATATCATATCGTGTATATGTGTGTGTGTGTTATTCTAGTTTATTTTTTATGATGAAAATTGTTATATAACTGACGCCTTGGAACAGCGTAGTAGTTTCTGCAAGTCTCCAAAACAGATCTCCTCATAAGCTGTAATACAGTCACAACTATCCTATCAGTGTCTAACAGTGCAGGGGAAACCATCTTAATCTGTAATAAGGCACTTCCTATGTGCTCACTTCCACGAGCACCCTGGGTTATTGCTGCACTAACTCACTGGCATCAAAGGCTAATCCACTCTTGAACCTCGGAGTCGTCTGCTGTGTGTTTTTCTTGTACATCTTTCACATTTTACTGTTCTTAACTACTAGTTGCAGAAACAGTTTAGAATACAATGAATTATACAGCAGCACATCTCTATGTCTTAATACTGGTGCTTGTCTATGTCATTGTGCAGTGATAGATTAACTGCATGGAAACCACGCAAACAAACAAACCATTAAAACACTTAATGTACAACAGTTTGTTGTTTCGAGCGTAAGTTTTGGATTGACAACGTGGATAATTCTGAATATTTACTGTTCTCATCTACAACGACACAGTACAGTGTGATGTGGTTTACTGGAACTGCATGTAGAAATTACACATTTGCAATTAATTATTGACTCCTTGGAATCAGCTGATTGTTTTTTACTATTTATTTAGTTGTAACATATCAAATTAATCCATCGAAAATGTTACTGTCACACAATAAAAACTGCACAAGTTACAAGCCCTCAAAGTAAGTAGAGATGGGTTTAACCCTTTAAAACCGGTCAGAGCGGGCATGCTCTGTTTCGCGTAACTATTTTTAAATCCCGGTAGCACTACAACCGTGTAAGCTAGCGCAATAATTTTTTTTGCATATGAAACCGGAGGAGTTGTACTTACATCTTATGCCATCAGCTTG